AACATGCTTCAAGTAGATATAAGTAGATATAGTGACTCAAAGGGTTAATACAGCCATCACTTTTACCTACATTACTAGAAAAACGCTCTGGATTGAAAAAGCAGTGCATCTATCGGATTCATGGATCAAAAATGGCTTCAGCTGTTTGTCATATATCTTGTTTTGGCTCGTCCTCAAATGCTTCAGAGGAAAACGCCATAAAGCCATTAGACCTGTAACAGACCCAGGGTTCTCCCGTGTGTCAGCAGCACTCTTTGAAGAAGGAACTATGGCCAGAATGCGGCGAAGTAACTCACCCGCCCCCAAAGCACTCGTGAGGTCATCTGCACACACAGCCACATGGCGTTTAAGGTCTGTGTTTTCAGAACCAGGGAGACGGATATTTGTGATCCTGGCAACGGTGTGATAATAATAATGATTTTATATCGCGCTTTTCAGGACACTCAATGATACTTTACACTCTGCACTCTCTTCGACAGCTGCCCTGGGGCACACTGACAGAAGCGAGGCAAACCAGTCTGTGCCATTGGCCGCTCCGATCACCACCACACCATTAACACACACACACAAGACTCATTCTAGGCAATGTGGGTAAAGTGTTTTGCCAACGGACACAACGGACTGTGGCACTTGGTGTTCCCAGAGGTCTCCCATCACAGTACTGACCATGCCCTGCCCTGCTTATCTTCATAAGTCAGATGGGATCTAGCTTTCACCTGCATGCATGGCCACACCAAGCAGCTCAAAGTGTTTAACAAAACAAGATAGAAACAACAGTGGCTCAGTTGGTAGAGCATTGGCCTTTGGGCCTGAAGGTCGTGGGTTCGAGCCCACCACAAGACATACGACTCCCACTGATGACTGCTGTCGTTGTGTCCTTGGGCAAGACACTTAACCCCACTTTGCCTGAAGCCCCCGCTGAAAGATCTCAGCTCCTGTGGACTCAGCTCCTGCAGGAGGATCAGGGAGGGGCTGGTGCTCTGGGACTGGGTGCAGCTGTGACAGAAGTGATACAGGGCATTACCATCACAGTACTTTAAAAAGAGTAAAGGTAAAATCCCTCAGTTGTATGCACAGCTAAACTGTTTTTAACCTGGATTTGAACATTGTCAGAGAAAAAGCCTGTCTCACATTTTCAGGAAGACGCATAAGTATGAAATGCTGCGTCGTGTCTATTATTTAGTTCATATTTAGTTCTGACACGAGGCACCAGCTGTAATAGACCTAGCCTTCCTTTTCAATTCCTTTTTAAACTCTGTTCCCATGACTTCTAGTGTTTTGAATGTTCTGGATACCGTTGCCCCTGTGAAGGTTAAAATAGTGAAAAATAAGCAGAAGGCGCCGTGGGCTAAAGCAGACTCGGTCAGGGCACAAAAGAGAAAGTGCCGGAGGGCCGAGCGGAAGTGGCGCAAGTCCAACCTCCAGGTTGATTACGAGATCTTCAAAGATAAGTTGTGCGAGTTTAACCGGGTGCTACGTAGTACGAGAGAAAGGTATTTTTCTGAAATGATTGAAGGTTGCAGCAACAATCTGCGTGTTCTGTTTTCAACAGTTAATAGATTAACAAACCCCCCTGTTCAGATGCCATTAGAGCTTACTTCCAAACGTAAATGCAATGAGTTTGCTAATTTTTTCAATGACAAGGTTCAAGGCATCAAAAACGCCATTGTCTCCAATCCACAGATAACCATCCAACAGCCAGAAAGGCTCTCTGAGCTAACTCACTTTGCACCTGTAAATGATAAAACTGTCCAAGAGATAATCTCCAGTTTGAGCTCCTCCACATGCAGCTTGGATGTACTACCCACTAGATTTCTGAAGTCTGTTCTGGGCAGTCTGTTACCTTCACTCACACAGATAGTAAACATGTCCCTTCATTCTGGAATATTCCCAAAGGCCCTGAAAACTGCAGTCATCAGGCCCCTGCTAAAAAAGAGCAGTTTCGATGCTACGGTACTTAACAACTATCGTCCCATCTCAAATCTGCCATTTATGGGGAAAGTCCTTGAAAAAGTTGTCTACCTACAGCTTACTAGATTTCTTATAATCAACAACTCATTTGATATGTTTCAGTCCGGCTTTAGACCCCACCACAGCACTGAGACTGCTCTCGTTAAGGTTACAAACGATATCCGGCTGAACACTGACGCAGGCAAAGTCTCAATCTTAATCTTGTTAGATCTAAGTGCTGCCTTTGACACCGTCGACCATGAGATCCTCTTACAGAGACTAGAGGACTGGGTTGGCGTCGCTGGCACCGCCCTAAGTTGGTTTAGGTCTTACCTTGAGGACAGGAAGTACTTTGTGGAGATTGGAAACTGTGTCTCAGATCATATGGCCCTGACCTGTGGAGTCCCACAGGGGTCGATCCTGGGACCTCTTCTGTTCAATCTCTACATGCTGCCGTTAGGTCAGTTAATACGCAGAAACAAAGTTTCCTATCATAACTATGCAGACGACACTCAGATCTATGTCTCACTGACTGCAGGAGAACATGGACCAGTGGACTCACTCCTTCACTGTATCCAACAGATCAGTGAGTGGATGCAAAACAACTTCCTTCAGCTAAACGCAGACAAAACTGAAATGATTGTCTTTGGTCCCCAGAAACAAAGAGAGAGCGTCATCTGTCACCTACAGTCTCTCTCCCTAAAACCTTCAAACAAGGTCAGAAATCTAGGGGTAATACTGGACTCAGACTTAAATTTTAATAGCCACATCAAATCAGTAACATCAGCAGCTTTTTACCATCTAAAAAACATTGCCAGGATCAAAAACATAGTGTCTAAAGCAGACTTGGAGATTCTTATCCATGCATTTGTCTCCAGTAGGTTAGACTACTGCAATGGCCTGCTCACAGGTCTGTCCAAACAGGCTGTAAAACAGCTGCAGTACATTCAAAATGCAGCAGCTCGAGTCCTGACTAGAACCAGGAAGTACGACCATATTAGTCCAGTCCTCAGGTCTCTGCACTGGCTTCCTGTGGCTCAGAGAATAGACTTTAAAACAGCTCTGCTTGTGTACAAGTCTCTCCATGGCCTCGCACCAAAATATATTAGTGACATGTTAGTCCCATATGAACCAGCCCGGACTCTGAGGAGCACAGGGACTGGACTCCTGCTGGGACTCTGAGGAGCACAGGGACTGGCCTCCTGCTGGGACTCTGAGGAGCACAGGGACTGGACTCCTGCTGGGACTCTGAGGAGCACAGGGACTGGACTCCTGTTAGTGCCCAGAGTCAGAACTAAACATGGGGAGGCTGCTTTTCAGATTCATGCTGCTAAAATCTGGAACAGTCTTCCTGAAGATGTGAGACAGGCCTCCTCTCTGACAATGTTTAAAGCCAGGTTAAAGACAGTTCTGTTTAGCTGTGCATACAACTGAGGGATTTTATATTTGTATCTTTCTTTTTAATGTTCTGTGATTATTTATGATTTTAATGCTTTGTTGTTTTGTTCAGCACTTTGAATTGCCTTGTGTATGAATTGTGCTATATAAATAAACTTGCCTTGCCTTGCCTTGCCATGACTTCACAAATCGCTGTAGTTTATTTCAACCAAACTCCAAATAAAAAATGTAAATTACACACAGAGCCAGTGACAGACCCCTGTAGACCCAGAGCACACAGAGCCAGTGACAGACCCCTGTAGACCCAGAGCACACAGAGCCAGTGACAGACCCCTGTAGACCCAGAGCACACAGAGCGAGTGACAGACCCCTGTAGACCCAGAGCACACAGAGCCAGTGACAGACCCCTGTAGACCCAGGGCACAGAGAGCCAGTGACAGACCCCTGTAGACCCAGAGCACACAGAGCCAGTGACAGACCCCTGTAGACCCAGAGCACACAGAGCCAGTGACAGACCCCTGTAGACCCAGAGCACACAGAGCCAGTGACAGACCCCTGTAGACCCAGAGCACACAGAGCGAGTGACAGACCCCTGTAGACCCAGAGCACACAGAGCCAGTGACAGACCCCTGTAGACCCAGGGCACAGAGAGCCAGTGACAGACCCCTGTAGACCCAGAGCACACAGAGCGAGTGACAGACCCCTGTAGACCCAGAGCACACAGAGCCAGTGACAGACCCCTGTAGACCCAGAGCACACAGAGCCAGTGACAGACCCCTGTAGACCCAGAGCACACAGAGCGAGTGACAGACCCCTGTAGACCCAGAGCACAGAGAGCCAGTGACAGACCCCTGTAGACCCAGAGCACAGAGAGCCAGTGACAGACCCCTGTAGACCCAGAGCACACAGAGCGAGTGACAGACCCCTGTAGACCCAGAGCACACAGAGCCAGTGACAGACCCCTGTAGACCCAGAGCACACAGAGCCAGTGACAGACCCCTGTTTAAAGTCTTATTCTTAATCACCTGATGCCCACAGTATTTACGAGGCTTGCATGTGGTTTTTCAGTTTGTTTTTTGTTTTTGTTTTGACTCCCAGAATTCTGAAACCACTAGAACTCCCAAAGCAGTCATTTTGACGGCTCCCACTCAAACTAATTCTGAAAAAATACCCCAAAAAGATTGTCACCAGTTCTACTAAGAGTAAGTACTTTGTTATAAGGTTTTTATCTTTATGCACATTTAATTTGTGCAAAAACTGTTTAATGAAACTTCTGTAATTATGCTACCCAAAACTATAAGATTGACTGCACTGAGAGTTCTGGGGTTGAATCATTAAAATAAGTAAAATAAGAGGAAGTGTGTGTGGATGGGGAGGTCTGGGCGTCTCGGCTTAGACTGCTGCCCCTGTGACTCGGCAACGGATGAAGCGGAAGAAAATGCATGAATGGATAGAAGTGGTCATACATAATTCTGTCTGTACTGTTTCTATCCAAACCCCAACAGGTGGTTTGCATCAGTAATCTGTGCTGAGGAGCTGCGTGTGTCACAGGCTGAAGCTTCTGACAAAGTGCATTGACCTTCTCTTCCTTTCAACATATTAAAGATTGACCTGGAGCAGTCAAAGATTAAACGTTATCGCCCGTTATCGCCATGGAGACGAGCTACAGGTCAAGTCTGTGGAAACCCCTTCCTCGGTAAGAACACATGTTTTTATCAACGAGACAAAGTGATACGAGAGTTTAACATCATACTGTGAAAGATCTCAGGGAGAGATAGATATTAAAGCTGAGGTACCTAACTTTCAAAGCACAACATGTGACTAGTTCCTGGATCTAAAACACTTTTGTTCTAACTCTAGTTTTCACATGCCTGTATTCTTGGCTTCTTTCACTCTTTACGATTGGCTTTTTCAAACAGAAAAGTGAAAAACCTTTACTTGTACAAAATTCATGTGTTATTTGTGGAAACATAAGATTTAGATACCCCAGCTTTAACTAATAACTACATGTTTACAGAATTTATATGAGAGACAGTTGCATGAGAAACAAGCTCAGATTGTGCTTCTTAGTTAACTCTAGGCTAATGAAAGAAAACAAGATCTCTAAGTTTAGAATTAAATTAGACAAAATACATCTCTTCGAAAAAGAAAAGTAAAAAGTGATAATTAGTCATTCACATTGAAGTTCAAATGTGAAAAAGTTTTGATTTAACTGTTGGCGGTGGGTGCAGAGCGGGGGGGGGGGGGGCGGTGGGCGGTGGGTGCAGAGCGAGGGGGGGCGGTGGGTGCAGAGCGAGGGGGGGCGGTGGGTGCAGAGCGAGGGGGGGCGGTGGGTGCAGAGCGAGGGGGGGCGGTGGGTGCAGAGCGAGGGGGGGCGGTGGGTGCAGAGCGAGGGGGGGGGGGGGGCGGTGGTTGGTGGGGTGCAGAGCGAGGGGGGTGCGGTGGGCGGTGGGTGCAGAGCGAGGGGGAGGCGGTGGGTGCAGAGCGAGGGGGGGAGGCGGTGGGTGCAGAGCGAGGGGGGGGGGGCGGTGGTCGGTGGGTGCAGAGGGGGGGGGGGGGGCGGTGGTTGGTGGGTGCAGAGCGAGGGGGGGGAGGCGGTGGGTGCAGAGCGAGGGGGAGGCGGTGGGTGCAGAGCGAGGGGGGTGCGGTGGGCGGTGGGTGCAGAGCGAGGGGGAGGCGGTGGGTGCAGAGCGAGGGGGAGGCGGTGGGTGCAGAGCGAGGGGGGGGAGGCGGTGGGTGCAGAGCGAGGGGGAGGCGGTGGGTGCAGAGCGAGGGGGGGGCGGTGGGCGGTGGGTGCAGAGCGAGGGGAAGGCGGTGGGTGCAGAGCGAGGGGGGTGCGGTGGCGTCCTGGTCCACCTGGACAAACAATAGCACGAGATGAGTGGCTCAAGGGCTGTATATGTCCCTAAAGCACACACACACGCACGCACACACACACAGACACACACACACACACATAGACACACACACACACACACACACGGTCTGTCCACAGGGCCCCCATTACAACAGTTCAGGTGCTGTACCTTCACAGACGGAGAAAGGGAGGGAGGACCGGTGGGGGGGTGAGGGGGGGGCGGGTAGAACAAGAGCCTCGGTTACCACGGCGACCACCACAACACACGCTTTTTCGAGCACCGGAGTGAAATGACGCGTGTTAATGTTTTGCATTTAATTTAAGCGAAACACTCCTGTTGAAGGACGGTGATGTCACATGTTCACGGGGTTATCACGGGAGTCATAACAAGAGAACGCACAAAGTCTCATCTCTGGAATCTGTAAAACGTCAGAATTAGACGTTTTTAGAATAATGCTTGACAATGTTTGCGCCAGAGCAAAAATATCATTGTTTTGGACATATTTTTTGGTTGTGTGAAGCTAACTGTTGTGAAATAATCATATCTTTTCAAATTATGACATAATTGAGGTGCTCTAGTGGAATTCATGCAAGGCGGCCCAGGAATATACAGGAACTGGCAGGTTTTTTTGCTGAGAAGAATGTGCAGCTTTAGCAAAGATGTTAAAGCTTTTAAGAACTGTGGCAAGTGAACTTTGAAGTAGTTTTACTAGTATAGTTTCTGTTGTTATTGTATTTTGAAAGTAGAAAACGCATTGTAAAGTAGAGGTAATAGAGTTAAAGTAGATCAGTTGATTTTATTAATCTCAATCTTAAACTGCGTCAGACGATAATGAGTGAAACAATTGCGTTATAATTCATGAAATATTCACAAAAAAAGACAAATAATCCACATTTCTGGCTGGTTGTGTAAACTATCTCCAAGGAAAATGGAATATACTTGTGTAAAATGGGATTGGTTTTTCATTTGTCTCACTTTCTCGAAACAAGAAGTTTTAAAGGAGATTAAAACAAAATTGTGGCGAAATGTTGTGGCCATAATGGATAGATTTACTTGAATTTTACAATCTCTTGCTGCTCCTCGCTTGCTGCTTTTTTATCTCCTTTAATAATTTTTGCTTACATTTTTATTCCACAAAACACGGATTACTCCTTTTTACAAACTTCAACACAAGACTTGTGGAATTTACCTAACTTACAGCATGTCGGGAGGACGGGAAAATAGAACAAAACTTTGCGACGGCTGTTTTTCACTCAAACAGGAGCTAAAACTTCTTCAAGACCGAATGTTTGTGCTTGAATCAGAATTGGGGCTGAACACAACAATACCAGTGAAAGGAAATGGACCACATGGACAGAACGTAAGTTATGATGACGCTATTTCATTTCCCAAAATCAACAGAGACAATTGTTGGAACACATATGGTGCCAAGCCCAAACAAGGCAAAGCTAATGATAACAAGAGTGTCATAATGCCACAGCAAAAATCTTTAATTACAAGAAACCGCTTTTCACCACTTTTGGAAGATGAATCAGCAGTAGTCTCTCAGTCCCAGTCTCAGTCTCAGTCAAGGTCAAATGCAGCTGAGTCGCTCTTTATCTGGGATTCTGCGATAAGAAATGTAAATATGCGTAATCTCAAGGTTCACTCAGTACACTCTGCTAAAGTGGATGAGATAAGGCGGTTGGCTCCGAGGCTTCTGTCTGAGACCGGCGGGGTAAAAAGATTGTTGACCCACGTGGGGGCAGTAGACGTCTATGACAACACAAGTGAAAAGTTGAAACGGGATTACTCTCTCTTATTGGACGACCTTGCTAAAATGGACACAAAAATCGTTATCAGTGGCCCACTACCAAATGTGGACGGGAAGCAAATGAAATTCAGTCGTCTGTATCAGCTAAATACTTTCCTACTCAACGAATGTTCACGCAGAGGACTTGCCTTCATTGAGAATTTTAATCTGTTCTGGAATAGGCACGAGCTTTTTGAAGGGAAAGGGCCACATCTGAACACTTACGGAGTAAAAGTGTTGATGGATAACCTTTCTTTTGCCCTGAGACCTCAGCCTGCGCAGCGCGTGCAGCCATCGAAAGGGAGGAAGCCGACTCCAAAAGTCTCTGCACCTCCACCACCTCGAAGGATCTCAACACCACCACCACCTCGAAGGATCTCAACACCACCACCACCTCGAAGGATCTCAACACCACCACCACCTCGAAGGATCTCAACACCACCACCACCTCGAAGGATCTCAACACCACCACCACCTCGAAGGATCTCAACACCACCACCACCTCGAAGGATCTCAACACCACCACCACCTCGAAGGATCTCAACACCACCACCACCTCGAAGGATCTCAACACCTCCACCACCTCGAAGGATCTCAACACCATCACCGCCTCAAAAGATCTTGTTGTATTAAATATAGGCTAAAAGGCGATGTGAATTAGATTGACCTGAAATTGAACTCTGTCTGTCTCCAAGCAAAAAGAAAGACCTTGTATTGCCCTACTCCCCTTGTCCCATTTTGTCCAAAGTGCATGGGTGAGTTAATGATAGTTAATCTGGGGGGATTCTGCTAATCTTTTCAAGTTGTGAAAGAAGGAGAGCTTTCTGCCTTATCTCAGAGGAACCAATAAATCTATAGAATTAGGGAGGGGTAGTGTGTGAATGATTATGTCTAGGTCTGGCGAGACGGAGAAGACATGATGGAGGCCGGACCCGGGACCCGAGAGAAACGACACGCCCCCTTCTTCATGCACATTTACTTATAATAACCTCATGCTTGTGTTAGTCTAGACCGGACCAGGGACAGGAGTGTGATTTGCGTGGAGCGCCCACCAAAATCATACTTTTATATTTTATATAGAGAATAAGGGATAGTTACTTTTGGTCCGAACAGCTGTTTTAGATTCTTTTTGTATTAGGGAAATAAACCTTTTTGAATTTAACTTCCTGAATCATGGTCATCTTTATAAGGGATTTTGAACACGTCATTTTTTTAATATAATAATTGGTGACCCTGACGTGATCCCTTTGATGACTTTCAACCTCTCCCTTGGACTCTGCATCTCTCCTCAAAGCGGCCGCTGATTTGAAGGTAAGCAGATACCTTTTGACTAATTAAAAATCTGCATATTGGACTACACAAATTAAGGGGAGAGAAGTTTTGTCCACGGAGGAGCTAATTCAAAAAGTAAAAATAGTAAAAGCCTAAAAAGTAGTGAGAGCCTTGCGAAAATACGTTAAAATTAAATAAAATAGGAGTCTAAGTAGCTAGAACCCTGCGAGAATACATTAAAAGTAAAGATTTTTTGAGAAGCCTTGCCAGAAACAGGAAAGCCCGCTGTGACTAGCGTGGTTGACGGACGCGTCAACACACAAGTTAGGTTTTCACCATTGGAACCTGGGGGAATTTTGGGCCCCCCCGAAAAATGGAGACAGGCATTCCAATCGAGCAGCTATATAGAGAAATAGAGGCTCAGATTCTGAGTGGTCTGGATAAAAAATATAGGAACAAGGCAAAACGAAAGGCTGTGAAAGCATGGGAAAAAATACAGAACAAAAGGGTCATACCTGAGTATATGACAGCGTCCGCATTGGCTAAGATATTGCGGGAAGAGGAAAATAATTTAAAACAGCATAAACTTGAGCTTGAGGGAAAGCAGGGAGAGAGTTGGAATGAGCGTAGAAAAATTAAGAAGGAACTAAAAAAGGCTGAGAAACTGAGGACCAAGGTACATAATTTTGCTTTGGCTGCCACGGCGTTGGCAAAATTACCGATGGTAAGTAAAGACAAGGAAACAGAAAACGGAGCAATGCCGGTGAGTAATATATACCCATCCCTACCCACGGCTCCACCAAAATATTCTCTAGGTTTAGAACCAGGTAAGCCAAATCTAATATTGCCACAATATACATTTTCAGGAGAAGTGGCGGTAGGAAAGAGAGGGGACAATGACTTTGTAGACAGTGAATTTGACGAAGGGACAGAACAGGAGTCTGTGGGGGACAATAGAGATCCGAGTCAAAATCCAGCTGTCAGCAGCCCGCCACAGCTCCCACACACCCCTCACCAACCCCCACCCATCCAAGAGGTGCAGGAGCTGCTCCTGCACTCTCTCAGAAATATTAGAGCTAGGAAACCGACCTCTGAATGCACCACAGACAGAGTTGAGGGAGAAGAAACCCCAAGTAGGACCCAGTGATTACGAGACCGCTAGACAGGAGAATGCAAAATTAATTAATAAAGCCGCACGCAGAGCCATGACTAGGACGGACAGTGAAAATGAAAAGGGAGACGGTGCCATGGCCCAGCCAATACTTAAAGCTAAACAGGCTAAAAAAGGAGCTAAATTCTCTTCTGACAGTAGTGATGACGGAGACCAGGAGCCTGGAGAAACTAGACCGGTGGCAAGCAGAACCAGGTCTCAGACAAAATCCATGTTCCCTCTGAGACCAGGACGAGGCGCAGCTGGGGAGTACCATCCTTTTTCTGTAAGTGACATGCAGACTATAAAAGACAAAATGCCTCCATTGTGTCAGGGAGCTGGAAACTGGATTTCCAGTCTGAACACATGGTTTACAGGTCATGATGTCGCGATGGGTGACGTCCGGGCAGTGATGGCAGCATGCAGTAAACCATGGGAGAGAGATGCTATTGAAAGACAAGCTGGTACTGCTGATGTTTGTGATTCTTCCAGATTTGGCCAATATGCAAATGCCTGGTATGAAGCACTGAGGGAAAACTTTCCAACTCCGCTGTCTTCTGCCCCTCGTGAGTTAACTTGGCTGGAGTCTGAGGACCCACTTGTATTTTATGACAGGAGTGTGACCAAGTGGATGGACACAGTAGGAAGACACCCTCACAAGGTCAGTGAAGTCATGCCTTTTAGAGCAGCTATTTTGAATGGTTTACCAGAAACAATACGCTCAAAGATTGAAGACAACCCAGATAATATTAACCCGGATTCAGCACAGTGGAAAACAAATTTAATCTTTCACATTAAGCGATATGTTGAAAATAAAACTAAAGAAAGAAAGAGTGTTGAAGATATGACTTGTCAACTTTTGAAGTTACAGCTTAGTGAAGCGAGAAATAAAGCCACCCAGAATAAAAAAGGAACCAGTAATCAGATGACTAATATGCCTGCTGGACTTCCCACTCCACCACGACGACAGGACTGGACAAGGGGAGGGGCCAGAGGTGGTGGGCGTGGGGGCCGGGGAGGAAGAAGGGGTGGAAGCTGGAAAGGGGGCAGGGATGTGTGTCACCTCTGTTACAGGCACGGTCACTGGGCGAAGGACTGCCCCTTTGAAGGAGAGGCCTCCTACTACCATGGAGCGCCTGAGATGGTGCGTGGGAGGGGCCCCCAGAGAGGCATGGGACCCAGACCAGAGCGCGCAGGCCCTCCCTCCCCATGGACGGCTCCGAATGACAACCTGGCCCCGAGAGATGGACAATATTTCCAGCATGGGAACTACTGGGGCGAGTATGAACATGAACAATCTTACTAGGGCTGCCTAGGAAATCCAGGGGACAAGGTACCAGCAGAGCCTATGCTCCCCATAAGGGTGGAGGACGACAACCTGATGGCCCTGGTGGACACTGGCGCCACCTACTCTACCATCAATACAAAGATACGCCCTGTCCTGCTCTCTGAGGAGCACATCACCCTGGTTGGATTTTCTGGGACACCTGAGGTACTGCCACTCACTAAACGTTTAAAGACACAAATTGGAACACAGACACTGTGGCATTCTTTTGTAAATGCTCCTAAAACACCTGTCAACCTGCTGGGAAGAGACTTATTGACTAAAACCAATGCGTCAATTCTATGTGGACCGGATGGTCTACAAGTGACTTTTCCAGGGGGACAAATTTACAGATGTGTGACCGGTGTATCGATGGACTCCTGCTGGCTTCTGAGAGAAGAGATGCCAGACCAGTATGCAGACATATACTGGGTGAGACTGGACCCAGAAAACAAGTCCACGGACAATAATGGTGTGCATTCCGTCTTCTTCAAGTGGAAACCCTGGATAAATTCTTTGGCCTCCTACCACCTCCCACTGGACCCTGCCCACTTGACATTATTCTATGACAGAGACCAAGACTTAATGTACAGAGAACAATTCAAACAAATTGAAAGTGATAGGTGGACATTAGAATCAGATTACATTTATATTGGGCCTGAGGGTGTGGCGGCCCATACACGGCTGCTTCCTGAACAGTGTGAGTGGTATTACATGTCTTCCTCTGCTGTCCCACACATCACCTTGGCTGTACACCCTGGTCACGAGGCTAGAGCTTTAGGTCCAATGGTAAAGAGACTGGTAAAAGCTGACGATTGGTCTGACACCCAACTCCCTCATGTGCAGTACAGCATTGAAAATAAGTCATACAGAATAAAAGCAAATATGATAGACACAGGGGAAGTGGAGCACGAAACATTGACCAGACATCATGGTAGACACATGACAGATCATGATGATACGCATGAAATATTGAAACAGGTGCCTGCAGAAGTTTGGTCCCAAGGTCCCACGGACGTGGGGTTGTGCACCTCTTTCCCTCCTGTGTCTTTACAGATGAAGCCAGGAGGCCCGATTCGCATAAAGCAGTATGCCGCCAAACCAGACGCTGTCGAGGGTATCTCACAGGTGATAGAGGGACTTACGAAAGTGGGAGTCCTCGAGCCATCAAAATCAGAGTGGAACACGCCCACTCTAGCTGTGCCAAAAACAGGTCAGAATAAATATAGAATGGTCCATGATTTGAGAAAAATAAATGATTTAACATTAACTCAGTGTCTCCCGGTCCCAAACCCTTATACAATGCTGTCATCACTGTCACCAGACCTCCAGTATTTTACTGTTATGGATTTGGCTAATGCATTTTTCTGTATTCCCCTGGCAGAGGAAAGCAGAGATTTCTTCTCATTTACTCACAGGGGCCAAAAACTGCGTTACACCCGTCTTCCCCAGGGACATAAATGCTCCCCGGGCATTTTTAATCAGACTTTGAACGCTCTGCTGAGAGAGTTGGTGCTTCCGGAGGGCGTGGTACTCCTACAGTATGTGGACGATCTCCTCCTCGCCTCGAGAACGGAGCAGGCCTGTCTACAAGCCACTAGGGACACTATAGTCTTCTTACATTCAAAAGGATTTAAGGTCAGTAAGGAAAAGCTACAATGTTGCAGGCCTGCGGTGACCTTCCTGGGACGTAGTGTGTCTGGAGGATCCACAAATATGTCTCCAGAGCACAGAGATGCTATTTTGTCATATCCCAGACCCACCATGGTGGGGGACATGTTGTCCTTCCTGGGTCTGATAGGCTATAGCAGACACTATGTGGCAGATTTTGCAGACAAAACTAAACCTTTAAGAGCTT